GAATATCAAATACTTTTGCTTAAGGTACCCTCTGGTGTCTCTTGCTATCAACCTCGGCGACAACTGCTGCGAATAACGCGCTACTGGCCATTGCGTTCGGACCAGTGTTACATCTACAACATACCTAAGGTGTGTAGTTACGTTATACGAAAATCAGAAGGCCTTTTTAATTTTGCCATAGTAGCTCCCGGTCAGGAGCGGTGGGCCATCATTTTTGGACGTCTATAAACTAGCATTTATAGCGTTTCGATGCACTTTTCAACATCTTGCGGCAACCTCATCTATCAACAGTAGACGCGGATAAGTGCAAACAGGTGTGTGAGGAAAGCAACTGTTTTCTTTTGTAATGGTGAATTATTTATTGTTTTTATTCGGTACACCTGAAGACAGTCAGAATGAGCTAAACGACAACAAAAAAAGAAAGAAAAAAGATGCGTCTAATTCTAGGTCATTCATCAGCTAGTGGCCCTGAAGGACTCCAGAGAGCGCATAGGCGAGCCCAGTGTACCCACACAGTTGTTGAAGGATGGCAGCTCAAGGTGGGCTTTCATGATGTATCTATGGATATAGGAATGTATAGTTTGCATCCAAAGTATCAATTTTTCTTCAAACCATAAAAACCGCAATGTTCACAAGTTTTTGGATAAAAGGAGTTTAGCTAGAAAAGCTGATTTTTCACTGAAAATTGTTTGCTGTACAACCACGTAGCACTCAGAGAGATCGCCCTGGTTTTCAGAGATGAACAACTGAAGCTCATCTACTTAGAAATGGCAAGACATCTGGGAAACTACATGAATCACTCGGAAAAGCATTCCGAGGTACGCTTATTCAAGAATCACTTGATGTGAAAGCTCTGTCAATTTTTTGACCAAAAATTTTTTATGATTTAGATCTTCTACCTGTTCCTGCAAGCCACTAATCTAGAGCGTGCAATCAAAATGTCTACTGCCGATGTTTCAGTAGCTGACCGTAGTCGGTAAGTATAGATTGGTAAAATGACACTTTTGACGGCACTTTTATATCTTAGGAAAAAATTCTCTGCTTGGTATTTGGAGCGGTTGTTATTTATTTTTTTGATAGATACCAAGTTCTAGATCTACAAGGCAAGAGTCTTCTGGTTCCAATTTCGCTGTTGCGTCAGCGTCGGCCATATCATCAGCTGCTAGTGAAGTACGAAACCTGAGCAGAAGCAACTCGCCGTTGCCTAAGAAACCACGAAAATCGATCTATCTTTGGAAACCAAA